TGTATATACATATGTGTATATATATATATATTAGTAAACAGGCAAATGTGCTATTAAATTATTGAAATATTAACTTAAAATATCAGGGGGTACTTCAGGTAAATAATTTAGGCCACTTCAAGTTTGTTATTGACTTTTCAAAGTTGAGATGAGGTGTGTTATGCATTTTTCATTTCAACTCGTAGGGACATATTACAATTTTTGATTGAATGCAATGAAAAGGGACTAAAAGTGAACTCTTCTTTTCATGAATGATGAATATAATAATAATTTCAAATGTGTGAAAAAGTTTGAATAATTTCAGTGTGATTGAGCTTTAGTGAGCGTGTGTGCCATCAGTGTACAGTCATCTGCATACAAAAGGTCATGCAGGATTGTGGAATGTGTCTTTGTGTGAGCCTGAAGCCTGCGTAAATTGAAAATGCTGCCAACTGTACGGAACTGGATTTGAATGTACATGTCGCAGTCCTTAAAAGCCACAGATAGAATCATGTAAAAATGTTGAATAACTGCTGTGTGAAGTGCCAAATGGGTCAGACAGCTCACCATCGTCTAGCACCTGACCAAACATGCCATCATGAAATGAACGGACAATGCTGACGAATTTCTCTGGGCATCCGATCTCACGCAGAATGAGTCAGAGTCCAAAGTTTGCTGCAGACTGACATGACATGCAGGCACTCTATCTAGGGGTGCGACGATAAATCGATTTGTGGATCAATTATGTGATTTTCTGAATGCATCGTGATTCTCTCTCGAATCGATTCTAAGCTTAGTTTTTAACAGCAGATGGCACTACGTGCTTTAGAAACAGCCGGACTCTGCGCTTCCAGCTCCTTACACACACCACTTGAACATAAAATAATCATTCATAAAGTTCGAAAAGGTTGAAGCGAATTACAAGTGTTCACAGTTTTTCCATTAATCTTGCGTCGTAAAACCATAAAAGTGTAACTGTTCAGGACAAACAAGGGACTCATGAACAACTATCACTAAACAAAAAAAACAAAAAACAGCTCATTGAGGTAACCACACAGTATTTAGAATGTAAACGTTTGAACGGGGTCATTTTTATCAATTCAACTATTGTTTTCTCTTGTGGACAATATGTAAACATATTTTATGTGAAATATCTTATTCAGGTCAGTACCAAATAAACAATAACATGCATTTTGTATGATCCCTCTTATTTTGGTTCAATAATTAACATTTTGCACATTCTGCAGGGGGATGTTAACTTTTGACCTCAACTGTATATTTTCAGATTGTTTATTTGCAGTTACATCCTTAAACAGACACAGATCCTCAGTGAATCAACGAGTCATATTACATTCGCAGAGCATGGTCAACATTACTAATTTATAATTACAAATAAAAAAACTCCTTCCTCACATCCTTTGTGTTTCTTAGCAGGAATTCATGGAAGGACTGCAGGCAGCTGCGGTAACTCAAATTGGCGGCAACTTCTCTGTATTTGGCAGTCTTTGCTGTGCACCACCCCTCCCCCAACGTATAACTTAAAATAATAAAAAACAAATAATCAAAACCCCCAGTATTTTAATCTTTTCACATTCTTTCTTACCTGCCTCACAGTCACACTGATGGCCCGTTAGGGGAGGCCCTTTGTCTCTCAGGTGTGAATCAGAGATATTCATGGCCATTGTCTCTCCTTCACATAGAGCCTTTCTAACACAATCATGTCTTACAAAAGGTAAATCAATATATTGTTTTCTGTGAATGAGTGAACAGGGTGATTTTCACATCATTTTGTAGCAAAGACTCTAGTCTACCACATCCGGTTCTCAAAAGTCTTGTGAACAATTGTTCTGTATGTGTTTTATGGCCTTATTCCAAAGACACTAACAATGCACAAACTTGAATTACAGTGAATACAGTCTTTAACCATTAAGATGTTTCTGATAAAAGCACCAATGTCAGGGCAAGTCTAAACTTCTCCAGACCTCAGAGGGTTAATGTTATGCTGTCTGGTTATTAGCTAGCAGCTCAAATTACAAATAGTTTGAGTTTCATAAATTGTTGTGTGCTGGGTTATTTGCCCAGTTAAAGAACTACTTGTGTGTTAATAATAGTTATAAAAGTTCAGTAACCATTAGTCAGAAGTGTATGCAATTAACAATTCATAATGTTGTCTACATTGTGTAGCCACGTGTATGCAGGTATGACTCTTTTTTCACACCATGTGCGTAATTTAAACCTTTTGCTTGTTCTTTAAGGCTGAATAATTCCAAATGAACTAATTTTTACAAGAAATTACAACAAACAACATCATTTAGAAGTAGCGCATAAATTTTATGTGGT